CCTTCTCTCTCTGCCCCTCCCCTGCTCATACTCTGTCTCTCTCTAAAAAAATAAATAAATAAACATTAAAAAAAAAAAAAGGTTTTACTAATCTCTCAAGCACAAAAAAAGCAAATTTTGACACTATACCTTAAAGATTCGAAAGCTCTTCCTGTAGGTATCTCTGCATCATTAATAGTCTCTATAAACTTATATTTTCCATTGTGTAATTAAGTATTCTTTTCCAAGAGAAAGATGGCTGCTAGGTACTAGACGTTTAATTAATAATTATTGGGGCACCTGGGTGGCTCAGTTGACTAAGAGTCTGACTTCACCTCAGGTCATGATCTCACAGTTCATGGGTTCAAGCCCCACACTGGGTTCTGCACTGGTGGTGTGGAGCCTGATTGGGATTGTCTCTTCCTCCCTCTCTCTCTGCCCCTTCCCCACTTGTGCGTGCTCTCTCTCTCTCTCTCTCTCTAAATAAATAAATAACATTTAAAAAATTTTAAGTAATAATTATCCTCATGGTTGTTTTTTGGCTAGTCCAAATTATTTATACATTTTACCTAAAGTAGAAATAGTGGTAAAAATGACTTTTATACATGCATTTTAAATCTTATTAAGACATTGTGGAAAACACACTTGCCTATTTATAAAAGCTTCAGAAAAAATGTTTCTATTTTTTAAATAACACTAAACTCTATCAAAAGCAGGCTGTAAAAAGTATTGGTCAATATAGGAACATTTTACAGAAAGCCTAAGTAAATATGTTAGTTTAGCAGCTAAACTCCTTATGAAAAAAGGGGAAAGTTCTGCTTTCCTGAAAAATATGAAAAACTATCATTTTTTAAATTTTTTTTTATTTATTTATGTATTTTCAGAGACAGATAAAGAGCACAAGGTGGGAAGGGGCAGAGAGAAAGAGAGACAGAATCTGAAGCAGGCTATGGACCATCAGCATAGAGGCCGATGTGGGGCTCGAATTCACAAACTGTGAGATCATGACCTGAGCTGAGATCAACAGTTAGACTCTTAACCAACTGCACCACCCAGGTGCCCCTATATCTTTTTAATTAGAAAAAGGGACTGCTAACAAAAGCTGTATTTACATGACTATAAACTTTTAACTCTCTTTTCTAAATCTGTGAAATAACAAGTAAGGGAGCATCAAGTGCATGTTGGTAATGACAAGAGGACAGTGAAAGAAAAGTAGCCTGGAGACATTCAACACCATAATGACTTCAAACCCAGATATGGTATTATTCAGTTCAAGGATCAGGTTAAGCCAGAATTATACTAAACAGTGATAAAAGGAATTGGAATCAGTAAGGAAGTTACTAAACTGTTTATAGTTTACCTTATTTAAACACTTTGAATTATAAGCAATATTCTTTAATGAAATTAATAAAATTAAAATGAATTAAAGAATTAGAATTAAGTTAAAGCATATTGCTTTTTCTCTCAATCTTATTAACTGTTGGACCAGGGGGTTAAACCTAAATGTCACTACTCACTTGATAGCAGTTACTCTAATCTTAAGTTGGGCTAAAAAGTTAACATCTGAAAACAATAAATGCAAATAAGTAAAAAAATGAATGCCCTGAACACAGGATAAAGACTAATATCTCTGGGCGCCTGGGTGGTTCGGTTGCTTGAGCATCTGACTCTTGATCTCCCGTCAGGTCCTGATCTCATGGTTCTTGAGACTGTTTATCTGGAAATCACTACCTAGGTATGTATGAAGAAATAGAAAGATAAACCCAAATAGCATAGTCAGTTTCAACCAGGGAAAATAATCTGAATGTCAGGTCCATCCTGAAGGGAAAAGGTGAAAGGAAAGAAGGGATTGGACTAGAGGAGAATCTCATGGCCTCTCACTCCCCTGTCTAACCAAAGAGAACATGAGGGTGCCAAAGTTCTAGCAAACTACTTTTAAGGGCCTCCCACTGTCTACAGAACAGAACTTGTGCTCTTCAACCACACTCCCCTTACTTCTGGCCTCACATCACTGGCTAAGTTTTTGTTACTACTTTTTTATCTTTCATCTGACATAGGAAGTTTGCTCCAAGGTAAAAAGAGTATATTATGTTTTCCAAGTTCAAATAGACAACTGAGGATGTGTTTAAAATTTATAAAGAGGCAGCTTTTGTTAATCTAGACCTTGTAAATAAATATTTCCCATTGAAGTTTGGTAACAGAATATCACCAATGAATGCAGTGTCTATATGAAATAAAAGAAAGAAGAGTCATACAGATGCCTTTAGGACCAGACCTTTCTCTCCATTAGGCTCTTAGATTGTGGAATAAGTTTTTGGTTTTATACTGAGAAGTGTTATTTTTATATTTCAAGTAGATTTTAATTTGATCAAAAAGAAATACATTTTAAAAATTATTACCTTCATTGACTTTCTCAGGATGCCATCCTGTTGTCCAACCCAGGGAAAACGTCACATCTGGAAAGAAGGATGTCACTGTGTCTATAAAAGGTTTTGCATCCACTACTCTGCTATTTCCATTTGGACCAGGAAGAATATCAGCATTAATCCACACAGGACGCTGCAGATGCCTCTTCACATTTTCCAGGAGCATCATGGATGGTTCCACAGCTGCTAGACTAAAAATATAGTTTGCTGTCAATAAGATACATTCCTGAAGTAAAAATAAAAAGAAGTTCTTTGAGACTACTGTTTTCAATGTTCTCAACTTCCTAATAAAAGTATAATACAATAATGCCTAAATTGAATAAATTCAAAGATCACATAGAACCAGAGGGGAAAGTTAACATATTCCACATCTCAAAATGTTGATTTATACTTACTATTCATGAAGGTACCTGAAAGGTACTATAAATGTACGAATAATGTCACTATTTGTAGACAGACTGAGGTTTCAAATCTCTGTATTAGGATCACTCAGTATATTTAATTTTTTTTTTTCAACGTTTATTTATTTTTGGGACAGAGAGAGACAGAGCATGAACGGGGGAGGGGCAGAGAGAGAGGGAGACACAGAATCGGAAACAGGCTCCAGGCTCCGAGCCATCAGCCCAGAGCCTGACGCGGGGCTCGAACTCGCGGACCGCGAGATCGTGACCTGGCTGAAGTCGGACGCTTAACCGACTGCGCCACCCAGGCGCCCCAGGGATCACTCAGTATAAAATAATTTCAGAAATACACAAATATTCACTCATAAGAGAATGTATAAATAAGATTTAAAATTAGATACATTTATAATCTGAAAATTCACATTTATTAAAATACCTAATGTGTACCCAAGCACTGTGTCTTTAATACTGGCTCATGACCTCAGAGAAAAGAACCTCTTTTCCTTCACGTATTCTTGTAAATTTGGATGCATAAACATGTTTCTAAAACTGATTGCAAAGTGTAAATGATAATATTTTCTTAAAACTTTTACAGATTTCATTTTCATTTCATAAACATCTTTTTTGGGGGTGCCTGGGTGGCTCAGTCTGTTAACCATGTGACTTGATTTCAGCTCAGGTCATGATCTCATGGTTCGTAAGATCAAGCCCCACATCATGCTCTGTGCTGACAACATAGAGCCTGCTTGGGATTCTCTCCCTCTCTCTCTCTGCCCTCTCCCCATCTCTCTTTCAAAATAAATAAATAAACATTTAAAAATAAATAAAAAACAAACATCTTAAAACTAGAGACAACTATATTTTAGTTACTTTTAAATAAAAAAGCAGCTTCACTCTTTTCTTCTCTACATCCATTCTGACATCTATAGGTTTTAAAACAGTAAGGTTTCAATCAGCCTACATAAATTTTACTTTTTAATGTTTTTTAAATTCATTTTTAGACAGAATGAGAGAGAATGGGAGGAGAGGAGAGCAAAGGATCAACAATGGGCTCTGCACTGACAGCAGAGATTCTGACATGGAGCTCGAACTCAGGAACTGTGAGATCGTGACCTGAGCCGAAGACAGAAGCTCAACCACTGAGCTATCTAGGTGTCCATAAATTTTACTTTTTAAGAATATATATATATATATTATATATATATATATATATATATATACATATATGCATATATATATATATATAAAATACTGACTAGTCACAACACTACTTATACTTCTGAATCTCTTCTGAACCTTTAGAGTTTGCTTGAAGAAAGTTTTCCACCCATATGCACTGTTTGGGGGATGCTGAGCTGGTGCAGCCACTCTGGAGAACAGTAGGAGGGTTCCTCAAAGCATAAAATAGAACTACCCTATGATCCAGCAATTGCACTACTCGGTATTATTACCAAAGGATACAAGAATACAGGTTCAAGAACGTACATGCACCCCAATGTTTACAGCAGCATTATCAACAATATCAATAGGAACGACCCCAAAAGTCCATTGACAGATAAATAGATAAGAAATGTGGTATATACCATGGAATATTACTCAGCTATCAAAAGAATAAACTTCTCATTTGCAGCACGTGGATGGAGCTAGAGGTATATTATGCTAAAGAAAGACAAACAGAGAAAGACAAATACCATATGATTAGATTCACTCCAGTAATTTTCAATGAACATAGATGGGGGAAAAAAGAGAAGAGAGGAAAACAAACCACAAGAGAACTCTTAATGAGCGGAACAATGAGGGTTGATGGAAGGAGGTGAAGTGAAGGATGGATAGATGGGTGATCCTGACATTAGGAAGGCACTTGTTGAATGAGCACTGAGTGTTGCATGTAACTGATGAAAATCACTGAATTTACTCACTGAAACCATTTTTGCAAGGTATGATTAACTAACTAAATTTAAATAAAAATTTAAAAGAAAACTT